TAAAGATATTTTGTTAGTATTCAATGTCTAAAAACTAAATTTGTTTATTAACTTAAAAAAATAATGATTGACTTATTTTACATGGTTGACTTATATTTGTTTAGTTGATTTTTTACTTTGTTGATTTATTTATACCGTTGATTTATTATTTTTATGTTCGTCGACTTAATATTCAGCTTCTTTGACTTATTTTAAATTGTTGACTTATATTTCATTTGCTTGATTTTTTACTTTGTCAACTTGTTTAACCATTGACTTATTTTTTATTTTTGTCGACTTCATTTTTTGTTTTATCGACTTATTTTAAACTGTTAACATATTTTATCGTTTGCTTGATTATTTACTTTGTCGACATATTTAACCATTGACTTATTTTTTTAATTTCGTCGACTTAATTTCTATTTTCGTCGAAATATTTTAAATTGTTGACTTATATTTCGTTTTATTGACATTTTAAGTTATCGACTTATTTAAAAAACTGACTTTTTTTTAGTTCGTCGACTTAATTTTTTTTATTCATCGATTTATTTTAAACTACCGCTTTATATTGTTTGGTTGACTTTTTACTCTATCGACTTGTTTAATCTATTGATTTAATTTTTATGTTCATCGACTTGACATATTATTATCTAAATTACTTAAATTATAAATCATAAAATTAATTAAAATCAGTTTGTAATTTTATTTTATAAAAATATAAGTTGGTAATTTTATTTGATTTAATAAAAAAATATTTTGTAATTTAAATTAATTATTATCTACAATCTTTAAAGATTATAAATCAAATATATACTTATAAATGCGAAGTCACTTTTTCTACGTGGCGGCTTCACAGCGAGGTTAAGACTTCCTTTGCCGAAACTACCCTTAATGAAAAACAAAAAATTAACACCTTTGCCATCGATACTTATAAATGAGAAGTCACTTTTCCTACGTGGCGGCTTCACAACGAGTTTAAGACTTTCTTTGCCGAAACTACCCTTAATGAAAAACGAAAAATTAACACCTTTGCCATCGATACTTATAAATGAGAAGTCACTTTTNCTACGTGGCGGCTTCACAACGAGTTTAAGACTTTCTTTGCCGAAACTACCCTTAATGAAAAACGAAAAATTAACACATTTGCCCTCGAAATTTGCATGACCATAATATCCCTAAATTGATTCGATATAGTTGTTGGGTTTCACAGTTTGGGCTTGATTATTTTATTTATGACAACTCAAAACATATATATGTTCA